ATTTTTATATAAATTAATTATAAAAAACATATTTATTATACTCTTGATAAGGCCCTCAATGTACCCTATATGAAATTACAAATTGTGAAATCAAAATTTTTTTACTAACAAACGCGCCCGCATCTCGGCGGTTGGATGCTTATTATTACTCATCACTTTTGAAGTAGTACTTTTTTCCTTTTCCTTCTTCTTTGTCCTTTTTATGTTGACTTAAAGAAGTCTCCTTTCTCAGGTCTTTCATCAATAACTCTTCCCCTTCAAATCTTCAATCTCCTTGCTCAATCCTTGTCTGCAAAAATGGCAGAGGCACTTGTTTCTACAATCTTACAGCAGATAACAACAATCATATATGAAGGAGCCCTAGAGGAAGTGAGACTACTGTGGGGTGTTAAGGAAGATCTGAGAAACCTCAAAAACAACCTCACATCCATCAGAGCTTTACTTAAAGATGCTGAGGAGAAGCAAATATCAGATGAACCTGTCAAGTTATGGCTAGATCGGCTCAAAGAAGAATCTCTTGACATGGAGGATGCTTTGGATGAGTGGAGGACTGTACTCCTGTATCGGCGAACTGATGGAGCTGAGGAAAATGGTTCTTTTCTTCAGAGGAAGGTACGTGTTTTCCTCAGATGTTTTTCTTTTCATCCTGTTAGATACCATGGCATTGCTCGCAACATAAAGGAAATCAATGGAAGGTTACATAAGATTGCTGCGGAGAAAGCTAACTATCAGTTAACAAGCATGCCAATCAGTAAACTGCCAAGACAAGCAGAAAGCAAGTCTTTTATTGATGAGTCGAGCTTGCTTGGTCGAGATGATGTCAAGAATGAAATAATTAGCCATTTATTGTGTGAGACTAGCAAAGAAGAAGAGGGTAGCCCAATCCAAACAATCTCTGTAGTAGGGATTGGAGGTATCGGTAAGACTGCTCTTGCCCAACTAGTCTACAATGATGAAAATGTTAAACAACATTTCACTTGTAGAGTCTGGACATGTGTTTCAGACATTTTTAATGAGAGCAAAGTTGCAAAAGCAATCATTGTGGGGCTTCAAGGCCCAGGTAAACAAGCAAACATCGAGTGGGAGTCACTTCCATTAGATGCTCTTTTAAATGAAATTAGCAAGTCCATAGGAGGGAAGAAGTACCTCCTTGTTCTAGATGATGTATGGACAGAAAAAGATAGAGACTTTGAAGGCCTGAATGCTACTTTCGAATGTGGTGCTCCGGGTAGCAGGATATTGGTGACTACACGTAAGCATACTGTTGCAAAAATTATGGGAAGTTCACACACCATTCAATTAAATAATTTGAGCCGAGAGATATGTTGGTCTATCATTAGGAATATAGCACTTAGAGAAAAGGACCAAAGGACTTGTGAGGAGTTCAAGCCAGTTGGGTTGAAAATTGCAGAGAAGTGCAAAGGTCTGCCGCTCGTTGCAAAGACTTTGGGAGGCCTCTTGCGGTTTAAAACTGGTATACAAGGGTGGGAGAATGTTTTGAATAGTGAGCTATGGAGAATGGAAATTGTGCATAAAGATGTTTTTGTTCCTTTGTTGCTGAGTTATTATGATCTGCCCTCACCAGTAAGGCAGTGCTTTACATATTTAGCTATCCATCCTAAAGACGAGCTTCTTTCTGCTTGTGTTATGATTTCACAGTGCAGGGCACAAGGTTACTTAGGCATTGATGATGGTGATTCACCATTGGAACTAAAAGGCTTTGAGTACTTTCAGTGCTTAGAGGCTCGCTGTTTCTTCCAAGATTTTGAGGATCATAGTGAATATCTTGTATGTAAGATACATGATTTGGTCCATGACTTTGCTGTCTTTTTGACAAGGGGTGAGTTTATGACATTGGAGGTCTCCAAAGGTAATAGAGATTCAACAATGAACAGAGAAAGGACTCTTCGACATTTGACAGTGACGGTGGAAAAGGGTCTCTATTTTCCTGAATTCATTCATGATGCAGAAAAATTGCGAAGTGTTGTGTGTTATGGTTTTATTGCTAATGATGCTACTATCAGTGAAAAGGCCATGTGTAATTTGTTTAATCAAGCTAGACGCTTAAGGCTAGTGGAGATGGTTGGATATGATGGTTCAACTATTCCAGAAGAAATAAGAAACTTATTGCATTTGAGATACCTTAACTTGGCTGTTAGCAGAAACCTTAAAAAGTTGCCAAAAGCACTCTTTAGATTGTACAATTTGCAACATTTATTTTTGTCTCACTGTTATAATTTGAAAGACTGCCCGGTGAGATAGGAAATTTAGTCAACTTGAAGCTTCTTGCAACCAGAGGTTGCAACAGATTAGCTTGCTACCCAAAGGAAGTTGTGAGATTAACTCGACTTACACAATTATTGGGGCTCATTGTGAGAATTGATCGTGACGATCCTGAAGAGTTTAGC